ACTAAACAATTTTGCCAGAGATCGGATACCTTTGGACTCAACCCAAATCGAATAATACAATCAATTATGTTTCATAATATCTCAAATTAATCAGGTATCATCAATTGAACCTCCTAAGGTTAGAAAAATATACTTCATCAACCTATCATAATATTTAAAATTTTTATCTTAATACATATATGTTCACAATAGAACCAAACACTACTAGGGTTTCAAAGTATAAATATTTCTATGTTCTAATTATAGAACTGAACTCTCCTTACCTCGATATGAAGATCTAGAAGGAGTTTGATGAAGAGGATTGCTTAGAACGAAGGTTCTTCCTATACAACAAGAGATAACCTTTTAAAAATAGAACTTAAATAGAAATGATCAGTAAATCTAGATATAAACTCAAGAAAACTTACTTGAGATTACTTAAATTAGGCGTCCAAACTTGGATCTGGCTAATAATCGCAGTTTGGAGAGAATTTTTAGAAGAAAATAGAGTAAGAACCAAGAGAGAACGAAAGAAACTGAGATGGAGATTGAGAGAAATGTAAATTTTATGTTCGAAATTCCTTAAATAACCTTGACCTTGCGCGTTCTCGCTTAAGTGAGAGATCCTTGCTTGAGCGACGAGTACCTCACCTGGGCGAGATATGTAGATAGTGGTTCCTTACTCATTTTCTGGTATTCTTGCTTGAGCGAGGCTCTTCTCGCTTGAGCGAGTTGGGTGTTTAGAGAGTTCCATATTTTCTTGCAATTCCTTGCTTGGGCGAATTCCATCTCGCCCGAGTGAGGTTGCAGTTGGGGCGACCTAATTTAGTCTCGCTTGGGCGAGAATGCTCCAGAAAGGAATAATTCTAGGCATGCAATCTCGTCTGAGCGAGGCATATTTCACTTGAGCGAGATTCCCCTGCACCAACACTCTACTAAATACTTTAAAATCCTCCTTAAAACTTTCCAACATCACCCAACATCAATTAATAATCCATCATTAATACCATTTTGAAATGAGGATGTTACAATAATAGTGATGGCAATTATAGCCTTACTACATCTCAAATATTAAACACTTTAACAAAAGAAGAACCTTTTATAATAGATAAAAGATGGATAAAAGAAGAAATAGATGCAAAATATAATTGAGAGATTAAAAATTGGTTCTTATCAAGATTTACTAAAAATGAAAAAAATAAAAATAAGAACAACCTTCTATAAATATTTAGAAGAAATAGAAATAAATGTACATTTCTTTCCTTGGTTAGAATAATATTGTTTAAAAGAAAATATAATATCATTGCTTAAAACAGGTAAATTCCTTACATAAAATATCAACTTCCTGGAAAACAACAACAGAAAAAATAATAGAATTAGAATATCCTCCACAAGAACAAATTCAAATTAAAATAGAAAATAAAGAAGTAGAAGCTAGTCAATATAAAAAGGTTAATCCATTAGTTAAAATAGTAGAAAAGGTTTATATAAATAAAATACATCAATATAACTTAATTATCCTAACAGAGTATTAGAAGTATGACAAAATATCTAACTAAAATAGAAAATAAAGAAGAAGGAAGTAGTAATTTAAATAATATTAACTTTAAAAAATTAGGTTATTTAGAAAAATCTATATATAAATTAACAATATTATCTCCAGAAACTAAGAATTTAAAAAGAAAAATGGAATAGAATTAGATATAGAAGAATTAAAAGAAAAAGTCCCAAGATTAAGCATAGAAAGGCCCTTTGTAAACATTATAGAATCTATTCTAGAAATAAACAAAATAAAATCGAACAACAATTATCTGAAGATAAAGCATCTGTTAGAAATTTCTTAATCCATTATGTGATTTTCATTATGTAATGACTATTATGAAATTACCATTTCCCATTAGATCTTGAATTACGTTGTTCTCACAACACAATACATGGTTCTCATACAATTAAGGGTTTAGAGAGCACTAACCTGAATCCATTGTTTCTAGATGTTACCTCTCTCTTTGATGTCGTTGATCCCTTGGTATTTTTCTCAACCCTTCCTTCCTCTTTCAGCTCCTCTCGGATGGTTGAGAGAAAGTTCCTTTCTTGTGTTTACCGTGAGCTCACTCAGAGACCGTGAAGTGAGAATAGAGAATGTCATAACCTATTTGGTAACCGCTTTTTAATTTATATGAAGGGAGAGGGGAGGGTTTCCTTATAATTGTATTTACAATTATACCCTCAATGACTCTATATTTTATATTTAACCACCATCACATTAAATCATTAATTAGAGTCATGCTATAAGTTACATAGGCGACTATAATAAGATTATTAAAATAATCTAACAATCTCCCACTTGGCCTATGTGACAACTTGAAGATTCAATGAACTGTAAGTGCGCATATCATTGATAATATCAAGTCATCATCTTTTAATGATTTAAGTTGATCGGATCATGGCGGTCACAAGTCATTTGACGACATGATTCCTTCCAAATATCACAGAACCAACCCAAATCATAATAGCTTTAATCAGTCATACTACAGACTGTAACTCTGATGTGTTTTTAACACTTAACCTGTTATCAAACTCAAACCATACATGTACATTAACACAATTCAGATAACAAGTAAACAAGCAGAAATAATACTTTTATTGAATTCCCAAAATGTCTACAATAATATGAGCAAAACAATCTATACACATATATGTGAATCACACAATCATGCTAACAAGGACTTGTCTATAATGCCCATTCTACCAACATGGCTAGAAAATGTTTTAGGGCGCAATCCCTTAGTTAGCAGATCTGCTATCATTAAATCAGTACCAATATGCTCAATAGACACTTTCTGTTTCCACGCTTCTTCTTTCACTGATAAGTATTTTAAGTCCATATGCTTTACTCCCTTTGAATACTTATCACTCTTAGAGAAGAAGACGGCTGCGAAATTATCACAATACATTCTCAGCGGCTTTTCTATATTATCAACAATACCAATGAATTGATCTAACAAGTTTTTGGCGCCGTTGCCGGGGAGCAATATGCAAATTGTATTAGTTTTTAAGTATAATTTGTTGAGTATTGTAAGTAGTTTTAATTTATTTTTATTTATCTAATTACTCTTTGTTACTAATCTTGTTTCAAGTTCCTTGTTTATGATATTGCGAGGAAAAGTTTCTGCAGAGTAGTTGCTATTTGATCCAGAGATTGGAAGGACATCCAAATGAAATAATAGTACAGGGAAGAAAAAGAAGCAAGCACAACAAGGGGCATCTTCAACTTCACAATCACTGGAAAATCACTCAAATTTAGAAAAGGAAGAAATGGCAGATATGGGAGGAAATAACCAAGGTGGCAATGGGAATGGTGGAAATCATGAAGGAAATGAAGGACGAAGAGCAAATCCACCACCACTAAGGAGAACTCTTGGTGATTATGCCATGCATCAAGGTCCAAGGAATTACTCGAGTATAGTGGTTCCACCCAATGCAAGGGCTGTAGAAATCAAGCCTGCTTTCTTGAATTTGATAAGTTCACGTCAATTCTCAAGAAAAGACCATGAAGACCCATATGCCCATCTTGATACTTTTTATGAGTTGGTATCAACTATGGGATTTGATGATGAGGAGGAGGAGGCAGCATATTTGAAGTTATTTTCATTTTCTCTAATTGGGGAAGCAAAAGAATGGTTGAAATCACATTCAAATCAGAGTCTGACAAGCTGGAGTGATTTGGAAAGGAAATTTCTTACCAGGTTTTTTCCACCCTACAAGTATGTTAGTGCAAAATCTGATATCTCCACTTTTAGACAAGGTCAAAATGAAGCATTTTATGAAGCCTGGGAACATTTTCAGTCCTTGCTTAGGAAATGTCCTAATCATGGGTTTGAAGATGTGGATCAGTTGAACATATTCTACACTGGTCTTCGGCCTGACACTAAGATGATTTTGGATGCTGCTGGTGGTGGAACAATGATGGCAGTAGATGCAGAGCAGGCCACAAGAATAATAAATGCCCTCTCATCCACTGACAGGCAAGCTCAACATAATAGAAGGGCAGTGTAGAGGAAAAAAGTCTTAGATTTGAGCACATCAGACGCCATCCTTGCTCAAAACAAAATTTTGACTCAACAGATTGAAGCCCTCACAAAGCAGATGACCAAGTTGCCACAACAGCTTCATTCAGTTCATTCCACAACTAGCCAAGCACTCAAATGTGATTTTTGTGGAGGGGACCATCAAAATGGTAACTATGCTTACCTAAACCACAATGCAGAAAATGAGGAAGTCCATTATATGAGCAACCAACCTCGGGGAGGTAATTTTTCTAACCCTAATTCTAATTTTTACTCTAACAATTTTTCACAGGGTTGGAGGCAGAACCAAAACCAAGGATATGGGTGGAGACAAGAAGTTGGACCATCCAACAGACCACCCTTTCATCAGCAATCATCATACAACCAACAACATCAGCAACCACATTTCCCTCCAATTCATAAGAGGCAATCCAAACTGGAGGACACCTTGGAGAAATTTATGCAAATGTCAATGACCAATCAGAAGAACACTGAGGCGTCCATCAGAAATCTGGAGACACAAGTGGGGGCAGTTGGCAAAGCAAATGTCAGAGCAATTCTCGGCCAACACACAAACCAACCCAAAGGAGCATTGCAAGTCAATTACTACTAGAAGTGGTAAGGAGATTGGAAGAGGGATTGGTGATCATTTAGCAAATAAAGAGGATATGGAGGAAAGAGAAGAGAAGGAGAAAAAAGAGAGTGAAAAAGAAAAGAGTGGAAGTGAGGGAGAAGTTGAAAAGAATAATGAGGAGAGTGTACATATTGAGAAAAAGAAAGAAAAAGAGAAAAAAGAAAGAGAAGAAGAAGGATAAGGGCGAACTTCCACAACTGAAAGATTTACCATACCGTAAGATTCCTTCTAAGAAAGACAAGGAGAGACAATTTGCCAGATTCATGGATATTTTCGAAAGATTGCAAATTAATATTCCTTTCATGGAGGCTATGGAGTAGATGCCAACTTATGCTAAATTTATGAAAGAAGTGCTCACAAAGAAAAGGAGATTCTCAGAGGAAACTGTGGAGTTAGAGGTAGGTTGCAGTGCAATAATTCAAAAATCTCTACCTCAGAAAACAAGGGATCCAGGTAGCTTTATAATTCCAGTAACCATAGGTGCAGTATCTGTGGGAAAAGCCTTGCTAGATTTGGGAGCAAGTATTAACCTGATGCCACTATCCATGTTGAAAAGGATTGGGGAGCTAGAAACCAAACCTAACAGAATGACTTTGCAACTAGCAGATAGATCTATGAAATTTCCCATAGGGTAGCAGAGGATGTCTTGGTGAAGGTGGACAAATTTGTATTCCCAGTTGATTTTGTCATCATGGATATGGAAGAAGATGCAGAAGTTCCTTTGATCTTGGGAAGTGTAACATCCTATATTTTGATTTAAATAAAATGAGGTTTGTTAAAGTATAATTGCAATAGATTTGGATAGAATTTATTTAAAAAAAAAAAAAAAAGTGAACAGTAAAACCGCCTATGAACAGTGTCGATGAACAGTAAACCGCCTATGAACAATAAACCGCGTATGAACAGTGAAACCGCCTTTGTACAGTGACGATGACGTCATCAATGACATCAGCATGATGTCACATCCGCGTACAATACGCATACAATCCGTGTACAGTACGTGTACAGTACGTGTACACAGTGTTTCCGGCGTGAACAGTTACCGCGAACAGTGTTTCTGGCATGAACAGTAATGCGTGAACAGTGTTCCGGTGATGAACAGTAAATTCCTGCGGTGAACAGTAACTTCAAAAATTTTCTATAAAAAGGGGGTTGCAGACGAAATTTTCATTTCTTCACTCCTATCCAAGGTTCTCAAAGGTTCTAAAGTCATATCTCGCCATTTTCTCCCATACTAAACCTCCTAAACTTAGATTTTTCTTCAGATCTGTGATTCTACGTTCGATCTAAAGGATTACAAGTAAGTTTTTCTAAGTTTGAAGTTAGATTTACCGTTCGTTTCTCTTCTTCTTCTTCTTATAGATGTTCATGATGTTCTTAGGAAAACCTCCGTTCTAGAGTTAAACCTTCGGTTAAATTCTTGTAAAAGCTCTGTTTTGAGGTAAGGGGGGGCTCTACTTTATCATTTTGTTATGTTTATTACTTGTATTCTCATAGATCTTGTCATGTATGTGATTATATGTGGAATAATCCTTGCTTTATGAAAAATAATCGGTGAATAGTGAGAATAATTGGCTGTTTATGTGATTTATGATGAATACATGGTGAAAATGTGATATTATGTCCAAATAAGGCATGATAAGGTATATTGAAGATGGTTGATATGATTATATGATTTTGTGATATGAAATATACAAAGAGATGGAAGTTTTATGTTTGAATATATTGTGTTTCATGTAAAAATGATGTGTATTGTTAATATGCCATGGTTTGATGTATATGATGAAAAGTATGTGGAAATATGATGAAAAATATGTGTGAACATGAGAAATGGCATATGTGAACATATGAATATACTCGAAAGAGTATGAGATGGAAAAAGATATGATGTAAATAGTTACAGAGATACACTGGGGAAGTGGAAGATGGAGACGATATGGGATATCTTGGGGAAATGCAGGGTGGTGAGTGACATTCGGGATTGTGCACGGAATATTGTGTTCGAATGCACCACATGGCCACACACTCATTTCTCGACTTGACTCCTGACCATTACCTTTGCTAAGGGGCCATCTATTGCATGCGTTGTATCTGTATTGCATTGGGCCATCCGGCGACTATTTACATGAATTTGTAAGACCTCGAGATAGAGGCATCGGATAACTGTGGCCACAGGGCGCGGTAAGCGCGGATAAAAGTAAAAGAAATTGTGAATCTGTGTGATGTAATGCGCGTTGAGATGAGAATATGCTTTATATAACCTTGTGATATGTAATGCCATGATGTTTTCGTTAATCGTGATAAGATGTGTTTTGTGAAGAATGTATATGTTATGTATGAGTGGTAGGGTAGAGACTCACCCTTACACAACATTTTTCAGGAAACCAGGTTGAATAGTACCAGGCTCACAGTGCATGGATGGATGAGAACTGCTATAGGACATAGTTATTTTGAGTTATGTAATGAATATTTTCAGTTCCATAGCATTCTTTTGAAACAGTTGTAAAACTACTATTCCTCTTTATTGCTGATGAAAACTTTAGAATCTTTGTTTTCCTAAAGTACTTATGAATTAATGAAATTTTACTCTATGAACCTTATATCATTTCAATGTCTTTTCCTTATTAGAAAGTTTTGAAGGAAAATTTACTTTACCATATTAATTTTTGTGAAAATTTATCATATATTGAGGAAAGAAATATAAGGTGTTACAGGAAGGCCCTTCATGAAGACTGCTAAGGTGATCATTGATGTAGATGATGGTAAACTAAATGTGAGAGTCCATGATAAAGAAGTTAATTTTAATGTCTTGGAAGCTATGCACCATCCTAAAGATAAACAACAATGCTTCAGGATAGATGTAATTGATGAACTGTACATGGTGGTAAAGAAACAATTGCACAAGTCTAGTCCATTGGAGAAAGCTTTAGTTGAAGCTTATCAAGATTGGAATGAAGAAGAGGAAAAGGAGATTGAAGATTGCTTGAAGAATCTTGAATCCTCTAAAGCATTACCTCCACATGAAGCTCGCCATGAGAATTTGCCTTAGGAAGAGAAGAAAGAGAAGCAGAAGTTAGAGCTGAAAATGCTACCGTCACATCTTAAGTATGTGTTTCTTGAAAAATGAAGAAAGAAACCAGTAGTAATCAGCAGTGCATTATCAAAAGGAGATGAGGAGAAGTTGATTTCAGTATTACAGGCAAACAAAGGAGCTATAGGATGGACTTTATCAGATCTTAAAGGTATTAGCCTTTCATATTGCATGCATAAAATTCATATGGAAGCATATTTCAAACCAGTGGCTCAACCTCAGCGACGTCTGAATCCTACCATGACAGAGATTGTAAAGAAGGAAGTGATGAAACTGTTGGATGCTGGAATGATTTATCCTATTTCATACAGTACCTGGGTTAGTCCAGTCCAGGTAGTTCCAAAGAAAGGAGGAATGATTGTAATAAAGAATGACAAGGATGGATTGATTCCAACAAGAACAGTTACCGACTAGAGAATGTGCATTGATTATAGAAAGCTTAATCAGGTCACTAGAAAAGATCACTTTCCTTTGCCATTTATGGATCAGATGTTAGAGAGATTAGCTGGACAAGCCTTCTACTGCTTTCTGGATGGATATTTAGGATATAATCAGATCACTGTAGATCCAAAAGATTAGGAAAAAACTGCTTTCACATGTCCATTCGGTATTTTTGCTTATAGAAAGATGCCATTTGGATAGTGTAATGCACTAGCTACTTTCCAAAGATGCATGTTGGCTATTGATCGCGAGTGTCGCTCTCGGACAAATTAATAAAAATTGAATTGCATAAAAATTATGTAGTAAGAGGTGCAATCCGATTCATCTCCCAACGATGATAATGTTATACGATTATAAAATTTTTAGAAGGGGTTTGATTTATAGAATAACTAATTAGAATCAAAAGTTAAAAAAAACTCTAATCCAAGAATTTAGAAGAACTACGACCACTCTATCACCGGATTCCAAAAAGATGCATCAACCAACAAATTAGTTATTAACATTAAATTTGAATGAAACCTCAATTCAAATTAAGCATTCACACGAGAACCCTCATGCATTCGATTAACACACAATTCGCTCAAAGTTCAAAAACCTCTAGAACCTAATCGATTTGTGTTAATTTAATTCACCAATGCTATTAATCTTAGATCTCAAACCTGAAAATCTAATTCACACTCCTTCAAGAATTAATTACATACATCAATCGAATAATATGTAATCAAACAATTGCACAATTATCAATCCAAACGAAGAACTTCAATTTGAAATCATAATTAGCAAAAGAAGAAAGAAGGAAGAGATGAAACCAAATTTGTTGTTGAATAAATTGCGAAACTGATCCTCAAGAGTGTCTCAGCCCTTTTTCAATCCTTGGACTAGATGAAAGTCTAAGCCTCCATTAATGGAGGAAAACGAAAGGTAAAAAATGGAAGAGAAAAAAAATGAGAGAGAGAAGAGAAGAGAAGAGAAGAGCCAAAAATTGAATTCAAAATTCAAAATTCCGTTCATCCCTTTGTTCCATCTTTTTGGCTATGAAAACAACCTCTTTTTGATTCATGGCCTGAAGTACAATTGTAGCCTTGGATGTCAGCTTCAAAATGCCACTAGAATGGGCTTAATCGAATGTCTGTGGACTGAGATATGGCCCAAATACTGCACCTTACTCAGGATCCACAACTGCAGCATTTTGACTTTTTCCAGGCCCAGTTTCAGCTTCTTATAATCAGAATTGGTTTTTGACGTTCACAGAAATTGTGCACCTTTCTCTTAGCTTTCCTACAAATCAAGAATCACAATGAAAGGAGTTCTACAACTCAAGATATGGTCCAGAAACTAAAATAGTATCAGAATTTACCAAATACTGGAAAAATTAAATAAAGCCCAAATAAAATTCAAACATCATAAAATGATCCAATTCAACCAATTAGGCACAAAAGAGGATTAATGAGCTAGGAATGAGAGGAAATAATGTTATAAAAATCCAATTGATCAGCTTTCTTCTTAGATCTGGTTGAAAAATGTATACAAGTATTCATGGATGACTTCTCAGTCTTTGGATCATCATTTGAAGATTGCCTAGCAAATTTAGACACTGTACTAAAGCGGTGTGTTGAAACAAACTTGGTGCTCAGCTGGGAAAAATTCCATTTTATGGTAACTGAAGGTGTGGTGTTGAGCCACAAGATCTCCTCTAAGGGCATTGAAGTTGATAAAGCAAAAGTGGAGGTGATTGAGAAGCTACCACCACCAACAAATGTGAAAGGAGTCAGAAGTTTCCTTGGACATGCTGGGTTTTACAGGTGGTTCATTAAAGATTTTTCAAAGATTGCGAAGCCACTCAGCAACTTACTCAATAAGGATACTTCTTTCAATTTTGATGTTGAATGTTTACATGCTTTTGAATTATTGAAGCAAAAGTTAATTTTAGCTCGTGCCATAGTCGCCCCTGATTGGAACTTAGATTTTGAATTAATGTGTGATGCCAGTGATTATACTGTAGGGGCTGTACTAGGACAGAGAAAGTCTAAAGTTTTTCATGCCATCCACTATGCTAGTAACGTTTTAAATGAAGCACAAGTGAATTATGCTACCACTGAAAAA